CTGTGGTGATGTGAATCTGTCATTTACCCATGATAATTGGTAACCTAGAACCTAGCACGTTGGGGCGACAAAAAACACATTAATGGTTAAATCATGCCATTGTAATGCCATGAACAGTTAGTTATACGATGGTTTTATGAAAAATGGGCTTATGCAAACACAGTTTGAAAAAGGAAAGTAACAAATTTGTTCAACAGGTTGCATCATATAATTGGTCTTCACTTTCAATGCGGATGCCACAAATTCGTTAGCAGTGAATTATCATTTGTTCAAACTGTATACACATATACATGATGTATTTTCACACACACGTCTGAATCCAGACTGTGTATCAAACAAATCATGATACAATAATCTTTATGAAAAAGAAAAACCTCCCATGATGTGCATGTAGGTGAAGTACGGCCAGGTTACCCTGGCCAAGGCAGGTGAATTTTCTCGAGGATTCCACAAACGGGGTTTATGGCTAGCCAAAGCCTGACCCGCAAGGCAGCCGGGCGGTGTCTGATAACCGCAATCTATTTAGGGCCGATGTCCAGTTCATCGACTCATACGCCCTTCGGACGGGGTCAAACGTCCAAGGTGCCCAATCGAGCCGGTGACCACTGCCACAACCAGAAAGGTGCGCGTGTGGTTCACATGCCTCTTTTTGGTTGGTTTGAGATCAAGGTTTTCAGCAAACTCCCCCCCCCCCCCCAGGTGTGACATAACGTGTCGTTTATCGGCAATCCCTGACCCCAGAAACTTCGGGACTTGTGGAAATTGCTTCTGAGTACTCAAACCGCGGGGTGGGGGTGGAGATGGATACTGACTGATCGCCTCCGTCTTGGCTAGATACAGAAACTGACGTGTCTATAGACCGTCTCATTCGATCTGTGTACCGGGATTGGAACGCTCAGGTCACCCATATTCAACGTGTGGACCAATTATGATGCAAACTATGGAACATTTAACTTACCCACGTTTCTTTCGTAAATCTCAATATATGCAACTAGTTCTTTAAATTATCTCTTAATGGCATGATTAAGATGTTTGCCAATTTCGAGTTCTGAACAGGTGTTCTGTGAGATTGCTTATACATTTCTATTTGAGAAAGGACCTTCCAAAGGGGGTCGAAACGTTATCACTAACCCCTTGTGTTTTTGGTTTTTTCTTTCGTCATGGCTAAGAAAAACTAATTTCCTCAATTAGAAATTGTCGATGCATAGACATCTTCATGGACAAAAATTTAGCATTTCAGCCCATGCCATCTCATCTCACCGAAATGCGGGGATATTTGAATTATTCCAACATTCGAAAAAATCAATCTTTTTCCTGAGAACTCCAGCAGAAACCCACTACTTGTTTACAAGTAACTGTACAGAATCAGTGGGGTCTGTAAGCGTTTTCTGTGCAAATAATTCACGTGTAGACAAGTGTCATTCACACAGATTTGTCGATAGGTCATCGAATGTTAGATACAAATCACGCGACTGATAATTGACTATCCCCTTCATATGATTTTCAATGCTTCGTTCAGTGGACCAGAACAAACAACCGGAGAAATGTTGAAGTGCTGGAAATTGAAAAGATAACCCACGAAGTTTCTTTACACAGTTGTAAATATGTGACGTCCACCTTGGATTCCTATCAATGGTAACTCCTAAATGTGCCACAGAATCTATTCCATTTGGATGTTCTGTGTTTATGGTTGAGAGGTCGCGGGGACAAACGGACCGACCGAGGGGGGAAAATGTATTCAAAGTCCCTTAGATCAATTTGCGTAACAACGGTTTGAAAGAGGAAGCTGAATCAATTATGTATTTGGTTGTCATGATGTGTGTTGCATTGATAATTGTTTGATTATTGCGCATGGATTGCATCATTGACTTCACCGATGACTTTGGAATGTGTTGTTCGGCCATCGGTTGTGATCATTGATGGTTGGTTCTGCCTCTTTCCTCTACCAAACCGTTGTTAATTAATTGCAATGGAAAACTGCTGGCAATAAGTGAGGCGTTGCTAATCTCTCTGCATCATTCCGTTCTGTGCTCTCCCCCCCCCCCGAAATTTGTTGATTCAATCAAAAATTATTTGATTTTAGGAAACCGGAGAAACTAGTGAAACAGAGTGAAATGCGGAAGAAAATCCCAGCAGGTTTTGCAGCTCACTTATCTAGAGATTTTATAGCGAAATGAACTAGGCAGGACAAACAGTGTAAACTGGATCAGTTGATCCTAAGCATAAACTGTAGGTGATCTACAGGGCATTGATCAAAATAAATTAAAAAAAACAAACAGTTAAACGTTTGAGCATGGTAAGTTCCGTCTATTTAAGACACGTTCAAGTTAGGGTAGTAAATGTATACGGTCTAGGACCAGAAATGATTGTGTCGAATTTCCAGTAAGCAGGAATCGAAAACGTGCATAAGGACGTGTTACGCCACAAGACAGTAGAGACATCCGTTCGCGCAACAGAATCCTGCTAAAGAGGTAGCAGAGATAGCAGACCGTGAGTACCGATCAGAGTAACCGATTTAATTAGACGAGACTGGGACTACATTAGTCGCATCTTCCGGACGGAACCCATGAGACAGAAGGAGGGATTATTGCTTGAATGTAAGAACTCTGTAGACGTCCACAGTGCAGTTAGTCGATTTCATTCCACATGGAATCCGAATAATTGTTTATCAACTTATGTGGCTGCGTAAGAGTTGTCAGGTATAGGATAAATTGGTTCGTATAGTTATCCGGTTAGATCAATGCCGAAATGTATCTGATCACTGATGAGTATCGAGCTTTGCAGAAGTGTTCTCTATGTCTCTATGTCTGCCTGATGATTTTAGAGGAGAGAGAGAGAGAGAGAGAGACAGAGGTAATACGATCTTGGGAAAGAAACGTGAGTAGCAAGAGATAACGCATATCCAAAAGCAAATTGATTGTACATCAGCAAAATAGACAATATTTTTCTTTAATGAAATTCCTAAGACAAATTTTAAAAAAATGCTGTTCTAGATCAGGATCTTTGACGAACGAGACTGCATTCACGTGAAGATTTTGCGAAGCGGGATTTTAATTTGGTCAGTTTACCTACAGATAGAAGAGGCGAAACGGAACCATATTTTAGGTATTAGAAATTCTAGTTAATGGTTCCTGTTTGAGACAAGTGCACGTAGATGGAACGAAAGGAATTTGTAATAATTCTGCCCGAGTAGAAGGCCTAAATCGGTCAGATCAAAAGCAGTTTGAGACCGGGTTGATTTATGATTTAAATTGTTCACCACAATGTTTAGGTTTTTATCCAGCAGTAGAACAAGAAAGTGAAAAATAATAAGTCATATATAATCGAGATGATATTCTGTGTGCAAAACGGAGTTATATATTTATATACATATTATGAAGGTATCTCTATATCCGTAGAAGGACTCAGCAAGTTAGTCGTGATATAGAACCAAGTGGCTGCAAATCTGCCTTCCATCTCAGTACCGTTCAAGCACTAGCGAAGTTCACTGTGAGTCTGATCGGGTAAAACGTGGCACTGAACGCTCAATCGCAAAAAGACCGTTTTACGCAAATGGATCTGACAATATTCATCAGAATGTTCAGAGTAATTTATCTTTTATTCAATCGTTGGCGAAAGAAATGAGGGCACCATACTGTGCGTTCGATCCGCCGGTTCGTTAGTTGAATCTTTCGGTCAAATAATGCAATGTGCACACGGTTACTTGTTCATTGAGTTAAATGACACTCAAATCATAACCGAAATTAATTCTGAGAAAGTTTGGAAATAATCTTTTGCCATGTGCCCAGAAATAAATTCTCCTAAAATTTTTACATTGTATTTATGTCATTTTCCGATGATATCTTTGTACCTATCGTTTCCTTGCTCCCTCACCCTCCATTGTCGAATCTCGCGACTGTCTGTGAACACAGCAGTATCCCGGCTGAACAGATCTCATATGATATACTACTGCACTATCCCCGTACTCTATCAACAACAACAGTCCGGCATGCATGTCAGTGAGGAAGAGCATCGAATCCCCGCCAGTGACACAATCAATCTCACATCGCTGAGCCGCATTTCCATGCGACAGCATCTGATGGCATTTGCTCTCATACTTATCACATGGACCACCGTGGTCCGCGGGCGTCCGAGTGGACAGAAGTCCGTATTTCGATCGACCATGCCGATGGACCGGTCTGACATATCTTCGGATTCGTTAGAACTGACTGACTGGCAACCGTTAACTCGTCCGAGTTACAGTTCGTCTCAGAGTGGCACTACCAGCACTGCTTCGGCTTCTTCCACATCCTCTCCTGGATTCAATCGGTGGAACTGGTCCTGGAAAGTGTCACAAAAATGGACAGACAATTTCCAAATGCATCAGTTTCATAAACTGTACTTTTTGAACGATTCGACCGCACTGTGCAATGATGGATCACCAGCCGGGTTCGTCGAAAAGAAAACTTTTAATTTTACAATAACGCTACTGAAAACGATAATAAGTAGATTCCGCTTTTATAAACGATTTATTGTTTTTCATAGAATTAAGTTATTGAAGTCGGTCCAGAATGAGAATTTTATTTCAATTTGTTTTACTGCTTTAAAAGTCGCACACCAGTAAAATAAGTGTAAATTGCATCAAACCTGACTGGTCCGTTGACAGATGGATCAAGGTGATAATGACTCTAAGCGACTCATTCGGACGGTCTGGTTTTGAGAAACAGGTAGTCAAAACTAGTCGTACATGCAGAGCGTTGATTAAAGGGATATCAGTTCTTAGCGCGGAATAGCATTACATATCTTCGTTTGCCCTCGTGTTGGACTAGCCATAGTATAGACCGACTTCAAAGAATGAACGGTTAGTTCAAAGTGCCGGACCCCTGTTTGCAGTGGCTGACATACCAGCACACATCCACACACGCAAACACAAATAAACCTAGCGACTGAAACACAACACGCATACCCACAGGTCACATACGACTCCAAGTTCTGTCCGCATAGTACCGCACGCGAACTTGACCGCATACAGGCACGCTCACCCTTCCACCATCCCCGCAGTTTTCCGGTCCGCCAAACAGCCAGCCATCGACCGAACCTAACGACCAACCGACAGACCGACCGACCGACCGACCGACCGACCGGCAGAATGAAAGCATCTGTTTCTTCCAGACAAGCAAGGAAATCGTTTTGTCAGTCTCTTGGTGGGAGTATACAGTTCCAGCGACAAAGATAGCACGAAGGGAAAGCAGCCGGGATAATGAAAGCGGACCGAACTGTTAACCGAGTTTTACTTTGATCTGTGCCGCTCGGTCCTGTTTTCTTCACCATATTTTCCATCTTCTTGTTAGTCCCTGTGCTTTCAACAAAGGCTGTCCGTCTATCGGGTAGGTTAACAATCAGCATCACCTCCACCTTTCCCATTCTCTGCAATCTTATCCTCATATTCTTTTGATGAACAACCTCGCGGTGATTGCCGCAACTGAAAGCATATCTTGTCGTTTCACTGACGTGTCGGCACAGACGTACAGAGGTATTGACAGCACAACACAGCATAGCACACCTGAAAGCTTTGGTTTTTCCAATCAGACCGTTCGTTCCATCTGGTTGTTTTGAACCCCACAAAAGGGACGCCAGGAACGCCAGAGAGATTCGGAACCAAATGTGTCAGATTCGGTGAGTGACAGCTGTCAGTCAGCAGCTCGCATAGTGTCGCATCAAGTCTCTTCTGCCCCCGATTGCCCCATGCACATACACACAGAGAGAAAAGGAGCAACGCAAACCGCGAGGGAGACGAATACATGCATAAAAACACATTTTCACGTGTCTTGGACCGATAGGCGGTCCCGTAGGCACGCGTCCGTCCGTTCGGCATGGAGATCAAAGAGAAATTTTGCATTAAATACTGTTCGGATGATGCGAGTTCAGGTTGATGATGATGATGATGATGATGATGATGATGATGATGATGATGATGATGAACACTGCCTTATCTTTTCCCCGGTGCGCAGGGGAGGGGAAGCGCTACAGACATGCATCTGGGCAACATGTGTGTCCCACCGATGAACGATGGGCTTCTTATGAAACACCAAGATTAACGCATACTTTGACCTCTCAGCGCTTCTCACCGATGGTGTCGACCGGGGGACTTTCACCTGCCCAAATCAAATTGTGTAATTTGCCAGTTTGATTAAATGAATTCAATTTCTGGTTTGGATAACATCCCACAATTTAGCACACTAACTCTCGTTCCCATGGACCGAATACCAATGGAATTAATTGAATCTGAGCGTTACAAAACTTAATCAGTAACTAAATGTAAACGTTGGGGAACTCAGTTTGCCTCAGTCCCTTTAATTCTTTCTTTCGTTTTGATATTCCAGGTACTACTACCGACCGTCAAAGAAACGAGACGCTAAAAACTGGTTAATTTTTCTCGAAGGTATGTGCAATTTGAGATCATTAATGCTCCTAAATATGCATATGAAAAAATACGCACAAGCACACACCCTTCCAAAATGTATTCGTGATGAGTTGACTGCAATAAAAAGTGAATATTTATTCAGTGAATGCCAGAACATTTAGGGAAACAAATGGATGCTAAAGATCAGTAATAAATAGAATTTTCACCTAAATTGTAAGAAAACGCTTTAAAACTGCGATAACCAGGAACTGATCGCAGAACACAAGGGTTCTTTCTCACATACACATAGAGCTTCTGTCCGGAACACCAAGTGAAACAGCAAGCTTTTGATGGTCTCGGATTCACCGGACACAGATAGCTGTGATTAGAGGCTCAGAGAACCATGTGTATGGTTAATCTGTCACGTTTTACCATAAGACACGAAAAAAACTGTTTTATCTGCTCGATGATCCTAGTTCCAAGCATCCACAACCCCAAAATTACACCTTTTTTCCGGACCACATTATGCCACCGTTAAAGTGCATTCAGATGGCTGAGGAAACAAGAAAGGCATTTTCGTGGGTCTTTTTATTCAAATATTTACGCTATAATTTCCAGTGATAGCTACGTACCCAGTCCAATCACTACGTCTCTCTGTCTCTCTTAACCCTTCATAGGTGGCTGGTATTGTTTTGACGAGGAGACGTGCCGACTGCGTGAATCCAGTACACTTTCCCTGTTTTCCTCGACTTCGTGGCCCACAAATCGAGCGTGTAAGTGTGGGGCAGACGCAATGCAAACACAAACGGCATTGTTTATTAGATGATTGACTGGCACACACATTTGTATTGAAACGTCTCCAAATCCAGCGTTTTCTTTTAAATTCGCATTTGACTCACAGTTACTTGTGAGCAGTAAGTGTGGGATAGTTGATATTGATTGATTTGAACGGACTATCCTTCGGACTTCACCTTCACGCACAATCCTCATTCAGTCGATTCAACCATAGATTCAGAAGCACCAGACTCCAGTCTCGCTCTTATTAGAGCTCATCGGTAGTTCATATCCACCGTCCTGGCCGGGATTTGATTTCCGCACCGATTGCATGGAAGGCCTGTGTGGTACCACTTGGCCACACTACTCACAAGTAACTGTGAGTCGAATGCGAATATCTATCAAGCATGTGGCAAGTCAGCCCGTAACCTGCATGGAAGTCCTGACTTGGTGGGAGGCTTTCGATTGGAGTTAACAGGTTGTCATCTGTCTTCGTTAGTTGCTGTCAGGTCAAATGAACTGACTCTCACTGAAGACGACACCTGAACAATCATGAATGGTCAATTTGGTTCAGCCATGGTATGAGCTGGTTGGCACAGTGGTAACGCACACGCCTTCCGTGCGATGGGTCCGGAGTTTAAATCACGAAAGGAAAAATGGATATGCACTACTAATGAGCTTGATTCTAGTCCTTTCGCATGTATGGTTGAATCGACGGACTGAGGATTGTGCGTGAAGATGAAGTCCGAAGGATAGTCAGCTCAGATCAATCAACATCAATTATCCCACACCACTACTCACAGGTAACTGAGTTAAAGACACACACACACAAACGGCAGTGTTCATTTGGTGATGGTCTGGACCATATTTTTATTGAAATGCCTCCGATTCCAGTGTTATTTTTAATTTTCTGAATTCGGTTCGGCACTTTTGAACCTCAGCTTTACCTAAAATGCCCGATTCTCCATCCAGTAAACCAACCATATAACTGGCCAGGCTCTATTTTCGTACTTCTGAGAACTTATTAATAGGGCGCATTTACCGAATCCCCCTAGTGAAACATTTCTGTTTTACCGGAGTACCAACCAGCTCATCTCGCGATTGATTGCAATTGCTGATTTCCGTCTGCTTCAAGGCAAGTCAGACGGTTCATTTCATCTGGTAGCAATAATTGGGGTAGAGAGATTTAGCTCTCTGTTCACTTTCAACGAAATAGGTTCGCATATTCGAGTCTTCTGTAATTCACGGTTTACGTGATACCTTGTGTGAAGTTACAGTTTGATAGATACTCGTTCAAAATCAAAACACATGCTCCCACATTGGTATGCCTCGAAAACTACATGATTTGATGGAATTAATTTTCCATAAAGCAAATTGATGGAGCCTCAATGACCCCGATTAGTTCGCGCTGATCTGTCAGGAGGAACGAAAGCATCATCTGCCTATTTTCGTATTTGTCATTTTGGTAAATTATTTCTGTCACTGTCACTTATTCCCTAGCACTTTGCACCCTCGCGACCTGCATCACTGCCCTCTGTCTAATAATAGCGATTTACAAGTTCCTGTGTCAAATGTGTGGAAAGGACTCTCACAGATCCTGACCACCGCTCAGTGCATGCGGAACTGATACTCTTTGTTGTTCCTATCGCTCTAGATACTCTGAATTCCGACAAGATTTATCTCTTATAAACATTTACCGAAACTCATCTGTACCGTATCTTGGACTCCCAAACAAAGAGAGGGCAATCAGTAAACTTTGTCTTTACATTGGATTATGAAATGTCCCTATGATATCCGTACACATTTTTCACCATGAGTAGCTTTTTTAACTAAAATGTAAGCTTCACTGCTTGTAATACGATACAATACAATACACGGCGAGATTGGGACCGCGTTGATGACAAAGTGGTTGGGTTACCGGATTGTGACCCGGAAATCCCAGGTTCGAACCGCTCCACCGCCGCCCATCTTCCCAATTTCTATATTTTCTCTAGGCACCCTTTTGTGGTGATCCAGGCCTACACAATGGCGCCTATCCTGGAGCGGCGCGTTACAGTTTCAGGACATTTGCGATCAATCAAATTTGAATGCTGACATCAATGACACGCGCATGGCTGCTGAATACACGTTATTGGTGGATGGTGCTAGCCAATCCAAGACATTGTAGACAGAAACAAGCAAGCAGTACTGCAATCCGATTTGTGGAGGCCTAGATAACCAATAATCTTCTTTTGTATATATTATTTAATCGCCCTCATTTCTTCCAATAAAT